ACCTGGAAGAACTTAGAAGTTCAGAGCCAGAAAACGAGAGAAAAGAACCCAGAAGCTCTTCTCTCTTTCTCTAGCAAGAAGCAAGCCATAGTTGATGGCTGTCAAGATACGATATCAACTGGTATGTTATTGATCCTCACTTTTTCTCTCACTCGCTCTCTTTCTTCCTCTCTACCGATGCAACCTTTCTCTCTCATTTCTGAAACCTCTCTCTCTACAGCTCCAAGAGCTCTCTCCTTCCTCTTCTTCGAAACCAAAACAAATCAAACTAACAAACTCTGAAATCTCAATCCCCTGGATGAGAGGAACTCGAATATATCCTTGCATGCATCATCAGAGCACCATTTGGGTGATCCACCATTGAAGCCGAGAGCTTCAAGCTTCCATTGCTCAAACCCAGATGAGGTTATTGCCCTACTTCAATTGCTTGAGTTATTCTTTGATTTTTTTTTTTTCTTGTTTGATTTCTTGTTTATTTTAATTTTCTGAAATTGATTATGCATAGTTGATGTTTTTCATTCGAATTGAGGGTTTCGGATGAGGAGATGTCAAGCTCAGCGGATGCACCGATGCCACACATCAACCATACGTCACATAGCCCTCAGGCTCTCGGGCGAGCGATTCATGCCGGGCCTCTCCCTCGGGCCTGCTCGGGCTCCCTTGCCAGCACACGCTGGACCACCTTCCTTCGGCTATCTGGCCCTATTTGAGAGCCAGTCCATCGGGCTATTGCCCACGGTGGAACTGCTCTAAGTGCGACTCACATATTTGCTACTGTGATTGCCATGTTATTGTCACGGGTTCAAAATAATATTAAAAAAACATTTACTATTTTGAAATTATTTAAATAGGAAACTTTAACAAAAAGCTTCCGGTACTATTTACTTTAACGAAAAACCATATTTTTATATTAAAAAGGCAATCATGATACCATTCACTTTACCCTTTATTTTTGTCTTTATCATTAAAACTTAAAGTTTTCAAATCATTGTCATTAGTTTTCCTTTAAAAATAAAAGCTCAAATTACCAATGCAATTTAGCACTTTCAAAAAGGAAGAGATCTCCTCTGGATCTCTCCCACCAAGTCCTAGGGATTCAGAGTTCGGAGATCTGGACCCTTGAATTTTGATCCAACGACTATAATTATTATAACTTTTAAAGGGGCCCCCTATTTGTAGCTATTTGATGAAATTTCAAGAGTTCGAATCTCCGGATCCGTAGGATTTGGTGGGAAAGATCCCGAGAGAATCTCTTCCCCTTTCAAAATACGTTGAGTTTTAACTTATTTCATTATGTGTAGTTTATTTATGATTGAGGACGGTCAAATTAATAATTACGAGAAATGGTAAGAAAACTTTCTCTAAAGTAAGAATTTTCATGAACTATCTGTCACCTTTTTTATTTTTCTTTTGCACAATATTTCTCAAAAAATATGATATAGCGGGTAGTAAATGAAAGTCCCACTTTGAAAAAAATATTCATAGCATTTCTTTAATAACTGTTTTCCAGTAGTGCAGACGCATGTGTCATGCTGTAGAAATAAAACTTGGATACTGTGGTTTACCCTTGTTTGTTGCTCGACTTCGAATCTTAGTTGAACCCCTTCAATTATTGTACCTTTCACTCTGTTTTCGTTTAAAAATATTTTTAAAATGATTGAAATTTTTTTTAAAAAAGATATTTTTGAATTCTAAAAATATGAAAATGCTTACATTTTTATGAAGGATAAGTTTTAAAAATATTATCACCAAAAATACTTTCAATTTTTTTTAAATACATTTCTAAACAAGTCACATAACCTCTTTGCCATTTCTTTCATCCAACTTTTTTTTTTTAATCATAATGTAAAAAAAAAATAAAAAACAAAAGAACCTTATATTTTTTGCTCTTTTTAATAAATTTTGAATTGCCGTTTAGTACTATAGTATTTCTCTTTACTTGCAAGTAAGATGTCTTAAATTCGATTTTCATCAAAAGATATTTTAAATCACATTACTAGTAAACCATTATGAGGTTCACCCACATCTTTCTTAGTTTAAAAAAAATTGAATTTATTTTTAAAAAAAAAAGAAGAAAAGAAAGTTCTTTCCGTAAGAAGCCAAATAGGCACACTAATTGATTAAGAAAAATTTATCTTTTCACACAAAGTCCTAAGCACAAGGATCCGATTGGGAGCTCCAGAGGTGATGTGGGGCCCGCACTCTTATTGTGAACCCAATTGAATTATCAGCCACTTACATTACCAAGGACACGTGTCGGTGACATTGGTTCTCTCGTCTCGTCCTATGCCGTACACACCAATTTGCATAATTACACTTTTGGAAGGTGGAGAAGGAATTGGATGCACTAAATACACTTTTAGGTTGTGTTTGTTAAATATTTTCAATCCGGATTGGTTTAGCCAGGACTAAGGGTGGGCAAACGGGTATGGGAACCGAGGGTAGGGGTGCATAATTTAGGTTCGGGTTGGGTACAAGGCGGTTCCAAATTTTTAAGAAAAGAAATGGGGTGTGACGGGTCGATAGTATTTAAGGGGCGGGCCGAGTTGTAATATTTGGAATAACGGAGCCCCAGACGGCCCATTTCTAACTATAACAACCATTAGTAATTCTCTAACCCTAATCCATTATCCATCGTCCCTTCCTTCCTAGACTTCAAACCAAACTCCCACCTGAGTCCTTGACTTGGGACTCTCTCCTACCCATACTATTTTCCCCCTCGACAACAATGACACCATATATCTAGTACTCACCCATACAATCACCGTTGTCCCGATCATACGAGTCACGACATCACCTCACCATCGGAGAAGACAAAGATTGTGAGGCTCTAAGTCGAAGAAGACGATGGGCTCAAACAGTTCGAAGAAGACGGAAGGGAATAACTTGGCTGCTGACCACCTAATCCGATTCGAATTGGCTGATTTCGTGGTGCTTTTAACTTGATCAACGATTTCATTACCATTATCTAGGATTGGACTCCAATAGACGATGACAAGTCTGTCGGGTTCACGCGTCCTAAGAAAGATGACTGAGGAAGAAAATAACTTCAGGTGGGGAAAACTTCTTTTCCCACTGTCGATTCTCTTCTATGCTAAGGAAGACGACCTCAACGAGGTCATCCCTTCTATAGTTGACAATAAAAAATGATATTGGACCCGTGGATCAGCCTGTTTCAAGCGAGTCGGGTTAGGTTTGGTTCCCAAATGCTGAAATCTCATTACCCCGCTTGGCCCACCCTGTTACCATTTACAATAGGTAAGGTCCGGTTCCTCAAAATTTAGGGTCAGTTCGGCCTGTACCCACCCCTAGCTAGAACTTCTAATATGTGTTTGGTGTACTAAGGACTAATATTAATGAAACTCAATTTGACTAGTGTTGATTAAATACTTCACTAGGTGATCTTAACGAGACCTCCTGAAAAATAAAGGGTTGTTTAGAAAACTTCGCCAAACCCTTCGCGTCTGCTTTGCACCTTTTCTGCAACCACATCTTCTTGCTCGAAACACTTATTGGATAGATTGAGTTTCAAGTCCTCGTTGATCTTGAGCCACAAGATCCAAGCGATTAGAAAGAGAGGGATGAAGGAGAGAGAGCTAAAGATTGGAATCGAAAATGCTGGCACCGAACAAGACAAAGAAGACCGATGAGAGAATCAAGAAAGAGATAGAGTGGGAGTTGGACAAGAAAAGAGGGAGAGGCAAAATACATGGAGAAAAAGAGGGAAAGCTTTCAAAATAGAGATAGAGAGTTCTAGAAAAGGAAAAAGAAAACAAAAGAGAATTGCTTTTTATTATCACATTTATTAGTCCGACACTGCACCAAACTCTTTACTAAGTTAGTTCAGCATAGTCTATTGTAAGCCAGTTCAACTTAGTCCCTGAAGTCAGTCTAATGTGAGATAATCCAGTTCAATAAACGCACCTTTTAGATGAGCATACATGTGGTAAAAGACTCTTTTTATTTTATTATTTATTTCTTATTAAAATCCACTTAAAAACAATGAATTTATTAACCATCCAGAAACCTATTATGTGAGGTTTTTTTTATGTAAACGTCTTTTTTTTTTTTGGAATTTCTAATAAAAGAAATCTCATTCTAATTACAAGTGTATTTTTTTCTTAATTCGACGCTCCTTATAAGTGTATTTTTTTTTTATAATTATAAAAATTTAAAATGAAAGTAAAATTTTTAGAATAATAACAACTACTTAATATTTCTCTATATATATATATATATACTAGCATTTGCCTACACACTTTGTGTGTATGACCACATTTTTTTAGAAAATGAGAAGGAGAGAGAGGGAGAGGGAGAGAGAACGTGGGGGGGGGGAGAGTGGGAGGTTTCTGTTTTTTGTTTTTTATTCTTTTTTTTTAAATATTAAAGGTATTTTAACATCAACTATATGTGAGATTTCAATAAAAAAAAAAATTAGACCTGAGAAATTACATTATTGCCTATCATCTTTTTTTTATGTGATAGAAGATTAAGTAATATTTTTACCATCTTTTGATTGACAAATTTTTTTTAATTAATTAATAGAGATTAATAAAGATATTAAGACCAAAAAAAGTAGTTATCACTTATCAGGTGAACATTTGTCCATATATCTCGAACAACGTGGACCTCCTCTGATTTGATTCTCCTCGCTACCCAAAACTTTATCAGAATCATAATTTTCTCTAAACGGCAAAATTAGTAGAAATATAATTATTTGTTAAATCTCTTCCAGCACTTATTCAATTACAAAAAATACCAATTATTTCCCTTTTTTTTTTTTTATAAAATTAAAAAAGGGAAATTTTAATAATTTAAGATTCCTTCTAGGCTTCTACGTTCACAGCACCGAGAGACCGTACTATAAAAGGGAGCACACACCCATCTCCCTGTTTACGTCTCTTTGAATACAATCACTCACTGAAAGAGAGGAGATAGAGCGAGAGAGAGAGAGAGAGAGAGAGAGTCTTCGCTTCAAGTCTTTGTGTTTCTCTGCAACTATGTCGCTCGTCTCAGATCTCATCAACCTCGACCTCTCAGACAGCACTAAGAAGATCATCGCAGAGTACATATGGTCAGCCCCTTTATCCTCTTACTCTTTTAATCTTCTGTTTTTCCATACATGGACATCGTATACATATTTCTGTGTATTTATACGCATTTTATACCTATGCAAATGGGTTTGCTTTTTTTGATGAATACGTTAATGGGTTGGCTTTGGTTTTGTGTTTCGTTCTTGTGATCGACCGCGTGGAGGGTTGATTGTCAGATGGTAAAAGTCTCTGTCTTCTGTTTTTCTGCAGAGAAATAACTCCTGTTTCTTTTTTGGTTTACTTTGCTTTCTGTTTTAATTTCGTGTTTTTCTACTTTGTTGGAGTAAACTTTTTATTCTTTGTTTGCTTTGATCTTGTTTAATTCGGTTGTTGAAGTTCCATGGTTTTCTACTTTTTCTTCTAAAATTGACCTGCTATTTATTCATAGATGTGTATATGTATGTTTCCTGTTGAGTGTCACTATCTTTTTTAGTTTGGTTTTGTTAATCCTTCCCAACTTTATCATGTTATTTACTTGGGATTTACCTTCTTTGATTACTTTGCTCAATACTTTTGAATTACTGTAACAGGATTGGTGGATCTGGAATGGATATCAGAAGCAAAGCAAGGGTAATTAATCTTCTCCTTCTCTTTGATCTTGTTATCTTGATTGGTTAATTGTTATCTTAATTTGTTCTTAATTAATTTGATGAAATAGTAATATTTGTTTTCGTGTGTATGTAGACTCTGCCAGGACCAGTGAGTGATCCTTCAAAGCTTCCCAAGTGGAATTATGATGGTTCCAGCACAAATCAAGCTCCTGGAGAAGATAGTGAAGTTATTTTATAGTAAGCTTTCCTTCTTTCTTTTTTTCTTTTAATTTTGTTGCCATTTTTCTCTTAATAGTTATATGTTTATATTGTTTAATCGCTGTTATTGGTTTTAATATGTCGTCTTTTTATTGAAATGAATCAGCCCTCAAGCCATTTTCAAGGATCCATTCAGGAGAGGCAACAACATTTTGGTGAGTTATCAACGATCTCCTACCTTTTATAATCTTCTATCTTGTTATTTTCCACTTTCAATTCAGTTGAGATATGGCATGCTGTGAGCTATTGAACTTATCTGTGTTTCTCAATGATGTTCAACTTAGGTGATATGCGATACCTACACACCCGCTGGGGAACCAATTCCAACTAACAAGAGGGCTGCAGCTGCAAAGATTTTCAGCCATCCTGATGTTGTTGCTGAAGTAACCTGGTATGGAATTGAACAGGAGTACACCTTGCTGCAGAAAGATGTCAAATGGCCACTCGGCTGGCCCGTTGGTGGTTTCCCAGGCCCTCAGGTAATGGAACGCTCTGTTTTCTGAGGATGTCCGTCATATTTTATGCTCATAATAGGTTACCTAATTCTTACATGTTGCCCGACTTTGGAATTGCTAACTTCTAAGGATTCTCCGGACATATATTCTTATGTGATGGTAATTCTACTTTTTTACAAAAACATAACTTCGTTATGTTGTTTATTGCTGAACAGGGACCGTACTATTGTGCGGCTGGCGCTGACAAGGCCTTCGGGCGCGACATTGTTGACGCACACTACAAGGCCTGCCTTTATGCTGGCATCAACATTAGTGGAATCAACGGTGAAGTGATGCCTGGCCAGGTAAAAGAATCAGATATATATTTTCTTGATCTTTCCTTAATGTCCCATCTTCTGCCCAAATGTTAAAAGTATTTCTGAATATAATCTGTTAATCAATAATGCAGTGGGAATTTCAAGTTGGCCCTTCTGTCGGCATATCCGCTGGAGATGAACTGTGGGCTGCTCGTTATATTTTGGAGGTAACTTAGCATGCTTGATTGTATAATAAAATACTGGTATTACTTTACGGTGTTGGTCAGTGAAGTTTTGTTTCTATGCGAACAGAGGATCACCGAGATTGCTGAGGTGGTTCTGTCATTTGATCCCAAGCCAATCCAGGGTGATTGGAACGGGGCTGGTGCTCACACAAACTACAGGTATATTGCCACTTATTCGTTGTTGAAGGATTTGCATCTGTTGATCAAATTATGTTACGGTTAGCATTGTTTTCTCATATGATGACGTTTGTAATGTAATGTTGTTTCAGCACCAAGTCCATGAGAGAAGATGGAGGCTATGAAGTTATCAAGAAGGCAATTAACAAGCTGGGACTCAGGCACAAGGAGCACATTGCTGCCTATGGAGAAGGCAATGAACGCCGTTTGACAGGAAGGCATGAAACAGCTGATATCAACACATTCAAATGGGGTGTTGCCAACCGCGGTGCTTCTATCCGTGTTGGTAGAGACACAGAAAAAGCTGGCAAGGGCTATTTCGAGGACAGGAGGCCTGCATCGAACATGGATCCATATGTTGTTACATCTATGATTGCAGAAACCACCCTTCTGTTGAAGCCATAAGCACACCCAGCCACACCTACACGCGTGCATTTATAAGTCTTGTGACAACGTAATCGTCTTTCATTGAGGTTGGAAATGTGATTTACCAGATCCTTTTGGATGGATCCTTGTGTGTCCTTAGCTTCAAACTAGAGTTAGCTTTGTCCTTTAAACTTTACTGTGTTGTTGCTTCATTGCCTCATCACTGTGCCCGTTGTGTTGAATAAGTGTCTTATGAATAATATTTTTCAAAGGGCTGGTTGGTTTAAATGCCATTTTACTTGTAATTCTTGACAAATGCAAGTCTCATCTTTTTTTTTGTTGCTGTTCTTGTTAATTGAGTGCATTATTAGCAATTGATAACCTTAGATACACCTTCGTTCGTTTATTCATACATCTTCCTGTTTAATCTGGTTCATTTACCAATTTAATTTAATCAATTCGATGACTAGAAATAAAAAGAAGTGTAGAAAAAGAAAACAAAAGCTTGGCTCTCACTTCCTTCCTGACATTAATCTGTAAATAGGGTAATTTTTCCACCCGTTAGGGGCCATAATGCCTTTGAATTTGGACCTTAATTACGACGGTGGCAGTGTCAATGCAGCTTTTTACTCCATGTATTGAGGGTCAGCGACGGCATTGCCACCCCCACCATGGCTATCACAATTTCCCCAAAATTCCAACTTCAAATATTTTTATTTTCTCTAGTTTGTTCAAACCTTGTAGTTTGTACAAAAGAGGCCATTGACTGTTTGGTAGCCATGCCCCCAAATCTTAGGATGTTGAGAAGGGAGGGTGTTCAACCTGTAGAATTTTCAGACAGACGAGTCATACGGTCCACTTCCAACAACATAGATATTATCCCCAACTTGGTAATTACCACCTGCACAGTCTGTCAGGTGTGGGGTTTTATCACAAAATGCCTTGGTGTTAGTTAGAGTGGAGTTAGGATATTTAAACTATTACTTATCTTTTAGTATGGATGATGTGGGATTCAACACGCCCCTCACGTGGGATCCAATTAGTGGGCCACACATAGGAGATCCACACATCGGCAATCACGTGGAGGTAAGGGGACTTGCACCCTACACGCGGGGCCAAGGGATCCACTATCATCGCGTGGGGCCAAGGGTGCCCACCCATCATCTGGTTGTACAGTACAGGTTCGCTCCCTGGCTCTGATACCATGTAGAATTATCATAGAGACGGGCCATACGGCACACTTCCAATAACACTGATATTGTCCCCAACTTGGTAATTATCACCTGCACAATCCGTCAGGTGTGGGGTTTTATCACAAAGGTCTCGATGTTAGTTAAAATGGAGTTAAAATATTTAAACTTTTACTTATCTTTTAGTATGGATGATGTGGGATTCAACACAACCATTTGGGGGTTAGCTTACACCCCCTCATTCATATCAGAGGGCACCTAGTGCTCCCTTTGGCAAACTATCCAACGACATTTAATTAGTGTTGTGTCATTTGACACGATTCACTATAATTTTGGATTACCTAATATTTGACAAAACACAAAATGAAATTATACAAACATTATTCACTATCACAAATTGTCACTGTACATGTCAAAATTGTGCGTTAAAGGAAACTTCCTTCACCCCTACTTTTCCCTTGCTTATTTGGGATACGCAACAAACTTCTTACACACTAAAATGGTGATGACATGTTACACCTTCGTCCATTTATTTTCAAAACTTAAAGAGCGCAATTTCTTCTTTGCCTTGTAGGTTTAAAGATTAGAACAATTTATCTCTAGATCACCATTGCAAATTAGAAATTGTTTAACCACTTAATTACTATTTATCATATTCATTTCATTTTTATTGGGCAATATGTCTACAGAGTTTTGATGATAAAAAAGTTTCAATTTTAGAGGGCCTTATATTCATACCTACACATTTGAATATGGGTTTTCACTCAAGGTATATAGCCAAAGATCTTTTGTAGATTGCTTCACGCCTGCTCAAAAACTCGTGACAACTGTTTAAAGGCTTAACTATCTTAGTCTCTCTCGCTGCGAGAGTATATGATTGCCGAGCTTTCTGCGCGAATTCGATCTCCATAGCTAATTAATTATTTGTTTTTCGAATCAAATCATAGCAGAAAGGTCATCAATCATATTAGAACTCATTTCAAAAACAACAAAACTAACATAAATTTGAAAAGATCAAAACACTTTCGAATCATCATCTTTTTAATCTCTTTATGACAAATCCTTACAATTATGGATGCTGGTTGTTCTTGTATTATATTGACGAGAAAGTAAAATAAAATGATCATACATACAACGACGTGCATTGTGGTGGTATAGCTGTAGACAGTTACACAACCAACGACCATACCAATCAAAACTTACTATATTCCAACTGATCACAAAGCCTCCGCGGCCGAAAGTTCGCCGCCTTAACCACCGGTACCGGTACGTACATATACACCCTTTTCTGGCCGCCGACGACTAACCACAAAAGCTTGTGTGTTAAGAACATCTTCACTATTGCCACATATCGCCGCATGCCTATGCCAGAACCCTCCTCTAACGTTCTTCTTTTTCTTCCTCCGATTCGCGTTACCATCCATGAGCGGCACACTTTCTTGTTGACGAACGTCTTCGGGGACTTGTAGTTTCACTGGTAAAGAGGATTTATCTCTGTATTCGAGATCAGAGTACGAACCTCTCCCGCCCTCTTTCGTATTCTTTGTACCAAGAACATCTCCAACTAGAAAACCCTTATGAACTTTGTCTCTGTCACCACTAAACTCTATAAGTTGATCCAATTTCCGAGAAATACTTTCAATTTCATATGTATCAAGAAGCGAGTTACTAGATGTAGTAACGCTTGGAGATTCGAACTTGACAAATTCCGTGTCTTCTTTACTATTAATATTGGCTATATTTTCCATAGCTTCTAGCTTGTACCTGGACGGTTTATATGGAGCGTGACAAGTCCTCCTTAAATCGAATTCTGGCACGATCGACTTGCTGTCGGAACACGAACCGCGCTCGAACCATGCCCATGCAGCTGCCTTTACTACTGCCGATTCATCGATGTCGTTGAAGCTTCCCCTCGGCTTTCTTCTCTGCATGATGAATTTATAATACTGAGTTTTTGTAGCTTTATAGAGTTAATTAAAATAGTTAGGGAGAATAAGGATGTTCAGATAAATTAATACCATAGAAAATTAACGGAGTTTTGGAATTTGTGGGGAAATGAAGTTCCACGTTACAAGGAAAGCAAATTTGTTGTTTGTTTTTAACTTTTTGTAAACTTGTCTCTATCATTTTTTTCCCCCCAAAATAAATGGTATAAGTTTTCTCACGAAAAAACAACTTATATGATACAGGCACACTGTCATGTGGTGTTTTGTGCCAATAAAAAGACAAAACAACTTATACATGTCTTTATAGAAAACGTCACTGTGTCATATATTTAAGTCATTCTCGTCTCATGAGAGAATTTGCATTATTGGATGCAAGTTGGTCCTGCAGCAGCTAGCATTATCAGAATTGAATAAAAACATTCAATAGAAACGGGCATTTGGGTCCACTAGAAAGGTTAATGTTAGGTACAAATTATTGTTGTGGTGAATGTTATGTGCTACTTGTTATCATGGGGAAGGTCCGAAGGTGAATATCCCTTGTGGCCTTTTTGGTTAACGATGGGGCTAAACGCTTAACCTAAACATAATAAAATAAAACATTACGAGGCCTAGAAGTAAAGATTTTTAGTAAAAGCAATAAATTAGAAAAATAAGTCAGTTTACTTTGATGGGATTTAATATGTGAACGAAAGAAACAATGTCTTACGAAACACTTCTTTTATTTCGTCTCAAAATTATTACAAGGATCAATTGATTCAACAATTGGATTTGGAGTTATCGTATTACTAATCTAGGACTAGGACAAAAATAAAGCATTGTGTCGAACTCATCGGGACTTCGGTCACCGGCTCTCCTGTCATCAGGTCATCATCCCAAGAAATTCTTCGATTTCTTTTAGAAGCAGATACTTATTCATCGCTTTTTTCTAATCATCAATAGTGAAAGCATTACATGATCGTCCAAATGAAAAAGTTGTTAGCGTATCCTTAGGCCATCTCTAACCGAAGGGTCTAGAGGGCCAGAGGGCTGAAAATAGCCCTAAAATCATCTCCAACCGAGGGCTAGGCCAGAGGGCTCATGGAATCTAAGAGGGCCTCGCATAATTTGAAAGGGCTGGCAAAAAAAATCATTATTCCTGTCGGTTATAATCGACAATAATCCTTAAGCTAAAATTCTAATGCAACGGCTAGCTGACGTCAGCTAGCCGTTGCATTTGATTTATTTTTTTATTTTTTTTTATTTTTACAGTTTCATTATTATTTTTTATTTACAAATTTTTTTCTATAACTTCTATTTCACAAAATTTGTTTCATTTTATTTTAAATTCTATTTTCTTCCTATAACTTCTATTTCACAAAATTTGTTTCATTTTATTTTAAATTCTATTTTCTTCCTATAACTTCTATTTCACAAAATTTGTTTCATTTTATTTCAGACTCCTCATCTTCTCGCCTCATTTGCGCCCATTTTACGTCCAATTTGGAATTGGATGAGGACCCCCAATTGGAATTTGAAGACGATCCAAAGTTGGAATTCATTACAAACTTGAATTGAAAAAGATTGAATTCAAAGTTGTGTGAATTATAGCCCAAGATCCACCTTATTTATAGCAAAAGAAAAATTCAAATCCAACCAGCTAACGTCACTTAGTCGTTGGATTTGAATTTAAGTTGTAGTTTTTAAATAATAAATTATGTTTGGCCCTATGGCCATTTGGCCCTTGCTTGGAGACAGGTTTTTGTGACAGGACTAAAATGAGCCCTATGGCCCTTTGGCCCTCGGTTGGAGACGGAGGCAAATATGACCTTGTACTGTTAATTAAAATATTAATTTCTTGGAGTGCTAGAGGGCTAAAACGAGCCCTTTGGCCAGTCCTCAGTTGGAGATGACCTTATACTAGATA